GAAATCTTTTTGGGACTGTTTGGAATTTTGAAGGATTTTTGTGGAAAAAAAGATGAATAGTTCACTTTATGGTTTTAAAAATGATAGATTTCATTCATATATCAATATTTGTATGCATCAGTTAGAAGTTCCAAGCAGCACTGACTAAATACATGTCATATTTTCAGTGTCATATTTTCATATTTGTCATATTTTCAGTATTTTCATATTTTCAGTTCTAATTCTTTTTTCTTTTAAAGTTATTTTTTTTCTCATCCATGTTACTTTTCTAGCCATTTCTTATGGACACAGTACCTTATACAGTAAGATAGATAAATAAATTATATTTTGCAGTCATTTGTGGTTTCATTCATCTTCATTCATGACAGATTCATTTTCTGAACTGATCCGACAGTTTTCGAACTCTTTTTCTGTATAAATTTGGACATTTTAAGCAATTCGAAAATTTTTTATGTAGGAAGCGTAATAAATCTTAAAAGTTAGATTTCGAAAGGTGCAAAATTAGAGTGCATTATTCTGCTTATTGAAATTACTGTAGACCGGGAATTCTAATAAAAACTTGGAATTGTTCATATGTGACTGGTTCTTTTTCTGTGATACTGAATGTGGGAATGAGTGATAAATCATTGGAATAGCTTCCCTGAATATGCGATAAAAGATGACATGAACCTTCATAATTTTTACTCTTGACTAAACAATGAACTATCCGAAATCTTCCTACAACCTGAAGAAGGAATATACATCATCCGAAATCCATACACATCGGTCTCAGTTTTTTTTTCCGGTTCTTCTGAAATCATTGTGACACATCACCAACAACCAACCTATCATATTGCTATTACCTGTGAATTAATTGCTAGCAACACTTTGAATCTACAAAATTTATTCGAAGGAATGAATGTTCTCCTCAGTTGACCCCTATACTTTGATCCAAAATATTCGTGATTAAAAGTTAACTTTGATGTTTAAAAAAATTTTCGGAATTTATTTATTGAGTAGATAAAGTTGAAGAAACAATTTGGTATCACGTTAAAAGTGATTATACCGTAATACATTTTTGTTATCTTTCTTTTTTTGCTCCACTCTTCCACCCCTTTGGTTTCCATCCCTGTAGTAATTCTTAATCTGTAATCGATAAAAATTAAAATATGATCAACAAGTGCTATTAAAAATTATGTTCCATTCTTTTTATCTTGTAATACTACTCTAAATTTAATTAATACATCAAAAGTTTTAATTAAAATTCATTTTCAAATTAATAAAATCTGTTATTTTTTGAATTTTTTGGTGGTAGTCTTTGCTACAAGCAAAAACATTAAACTGATCATTGGTCAAGAGAAGAAATTTGGAATCACCAGTTTAAAGTTCTTTTTTTTCTTGAACATTAAATGGAAATTTACATTTAAATCATCACCAAGTATGTTACATATATTTATATCTCACTTCAAATCATATCCATCTTTTCAGATGATATCCGAAGAAATTTAACAGAAAATAAATCAAAGAAAAAGTTTAAAAAGCAAAGCATAAATTAAATTAATGAAGTTGATAAAGTGATACTGAAATAGTTCAATGTATTGATGTATTCGATAAAGCACATAAGGTTACAAAGGTAAATATTGTATTATGTATTTTGATTATTTAATTCATTATAATGATATTCTTAAACATATATTTTGATCATTTAATTCATTATAATGATATTCTTAAACATATATTTTGGTTATTTAATTCATTATAATGATATTCTTAAACATATATTTTGATTGTTT